CTCAGTTCGCTCTAGAATTACCCTGACCCACCCCCTGGCAGAGGAAGAGGCTCCGATGGTTGTGACGTGCATGAGGCATGTGTTCATGCGATATTAGCACTTGGATGCTGTGGTGTCGATGATGATTTCGTGTGCTCAGCTCATATTCCCGACCGATTGCTCGGACGTGCTCGTCTCGTTGCAGTGCAGCGAATCTTTTAGTTCACGACTTGCCAGCTGCATACAACTCGCGTCACCACCAGATTAGCGGAAGACCAGCTTATCGACCGCAGGAAGTATCATCGGAGCTTTAACTGGGCTGCCATGGGCAATCCGTGTCTGAGTCCAGCACCAACGGAGTAACGTGCATTTCAGGTCGGAGAGCTTCCAGATGACAATCCTGAGCTGTGGCCCGTCGAGTAATGATGCAGTGGCACAGCAGCCTCAATTTTCCATAAGTTTGTGCGGCCTGGAGGATAGCTATTTCGCAGAAACATTGTGTAACAGTCGAGGCCCGTACAACTTACTGCAGACTCGGGGCTTGTTGACCGTTGAGCGATTGCTAGAACCGCGGCATCGCAGTCCAACACCCTTCTGGTGGAGTGTTGCCCGTCTCGACTGAAGCCAGTCCGTGCGTTCGAAACACGGCACGGAGTGTGTCGAAGGATTTGGTGCAGAATCCCTTCCAGACACGCATGTCAAGACAGACCAGTTGCGATTCCGGTTTGCTGAAACTTGGTCAGCATGTTAAGCTGAGTTGCACCAGCTGGATCGAGCAGAAGTGCTCTGGCGAATAGCAAGCCAGCCGGCTCCAAAGTTTGAGGACCAAGACCTTGGCATTCACTCCAGCTCTCTCCAGTCTCCAACTCTAAACCGGGTCCTGACCACAATGTGCTAGTTTTGCCCATGTCCCATGGCTCCGAAGTCGTGGCAGCTTTACAGCCGACAGCGCAGCTGCGCTGCTGTTTGCGCGCGGAGGCACCGCTTCACATCCAGCAACAGCCTTTTTTCAAGTTCTGCCAAGGAATTGCATTTATGCCATCCATGTCGCGCAGCGAAGACACCAAACACTAACCCAAATTGCTACTGCTCATGGCTTGAGGCACCACATATTCAGCAAAGACTGTTGTGAGGGCCCACCTATGATAGCATTTGTTTGCTTCTACGTATTATGGCTTGATGGTATGGACTAGTACAACCTTTCTGTCTATTAGAACGTTCTGGCTTGTCCTTGGTTTCCCCTGAGCTCTCTTGGACTCCAACAAGCCCCCTGCGGTGCGACATAGTCAGCCGGGCGGGTGGGAAAAATTACAACGTTCTGTCTATGTCATGCGCAATACATCCAAATTGGTAGTTGTTTCAGATAGTATCAATATGAACGTTGCATCGCATATAATTCTTAATTCTTAGTTTTGCACTGGTACGAACTCCACCGGTGTGTTTATGTCCTCTCCCCGAATTTAAGGGCTGCGGCAAGCAAATCCATACTGCAGTTGCAGACTTGAGGATTTTGAGTTCAGGGGTTCTGAATTAGGGTTCATGGCGTTCAACCCCGAGTTCTCAGTTTGCCTTCCCAGCATCCTGACAACTCCTAAGACCTAAGATTCGCTTGCGCCGCCGCCAATAAGTTCCGAAGCCCGGAAGCCGTACACTTTGCTTTCGAACCGCCCAAGCCCCGAAGTTGGCATCGCTTTTCCTGACACCAGGGCTTCTCGGCGCTCGATCTCCGATGTGGTCTTTTCGGCCCGGGGGCTCACTTTGGTGCGAATACGGTATCCATGTGCATCGAAGACTATTAGGATTATTAGGAATTAGTATCAGTAGTACTGGCTGCACTGCGATAACGACATAGGACTGGTTGGTGATGGAAACTGAGCGGTGCGTGTGGCGATAGCAATGGGTGCTTGTGATGATATTGCTCGTCCAGGTCTGATTGTTTGGAAAGCTCCATGATGCTACATCGGCCGCAACTATCTGCAAGCACGAAACAGAAGGCCTGACTCGCCCAACCATATCATTGTAGCTCATACGGCCAGAAGGGATTGACAGAGTCCGAGAATCACGAAGGCTCACCCCCTGCCACTTTCTGACAAATGGCCGAATGGCTCAAATTTCCGGGCCTAGAATACCCCAGGCCTTGGGGAAGGGGCGGGACTAGTGAGCAAGCAATGCCGAGGCATGGCCGATGCCATGAAGAGAACTTGTAACAGATTCGCCGTGTCCCTTTATCCGTGCGGGTGTCTTCGAGTTCTCTTTCTTGAGTTTGAGCGAACCGTCGTTGTTGCCAGGCAGCGATCTCGAGCTCCTTTCCCCCAGCGACTGCGCCTGGCAGTCTCGTGCCAACACTGGCCCGGTCCTATCCGTCACGGGCCAGGCGCTCGTCCCTTGCTTTTGCGTTTCACTTCGCGCATTGAAAAGTTGGCCAATGACAGGCACGTGCAGGCTTGGTCTTGGAGGCCTGGTGAAGGGTTTGAGGATCATGGAAAACCCTGAGACTTACTTAAAGTTACGTACTTCTTTGATGAGGTGCCACTCGAGGAGCTTCCAAGAGCAACCGAGCACCTTGTCCTTGCCTCTGTCGGACGGACAGATGGCGTTGGAGGCCAGCTTCCCATTTCTGACATGTTCTGTCATCGCATGCCAGAAGCCCTTCCCTGCGAAGGATGGCTTTGCCTTTCCGTAGGGGCCCCGCCGCACTCGCAGCACCAGTGCACTCGGAGCCACCCGGGCAAGGGCTCTGCACAGGCTGGGAGTTCGCAAGAATGCGTTTTTGCTTCTGAGCATGCTTTGATCAGTGATTCAATTTTGGAAGTTGTTTATCAGTTGACAGGGCTCTATGCTCCTGGTGCTGTCGCGATCTTCGAGGGCTTGGCTGCTTCGAGAAATGGTGCCCAACCTTGGCGCCTTAGCTTGCAGCAGCACATTTCGGTTGTGCAATGTTTGAGGTTTCAGCCTCGAGCAACAGGCAGGAGTGCCTCGCCAGCATTCAGAGGCCTTCAAGCAGGGCCCAGCTTTTTTAGCGATTCGCTTGGAAAGCCGGCGTTGGTCAAAGATCTGTCGTATGCTGAGGCCATCGTGCGAGAGCTCTATTGGCCGGAGGTGGGGCAACGCGGGCAGCGGTCCTTGTTTCAGCGCCTTCGCTTTTCATCACGATGGCCCTTCGCAGACGGGATTTCCAAGTGCCAGAAGTCATTAGCCTGATTGTGCCACAGCAGGCAATGGCTGAACGATTATACCCCTTTCAGATTGATTGGCTACTGGGTTTGGGGAGAGTCTGTCAGGTTGGCGTGGCCATCCAGCGAACCACATCCACAGACACCGGACAAGCTGTGAGCTGGTTAGAAGTCTTCAGGAGCGACCGCGGGCGGAGTTTGGAACTGCGTTCATTCGTCGGATGATTCCTTGGCCGGTATATTACTCATTGTGTGCCTTTTTACCAGGGCGGATCCCGACGGCCTTTGCGACAGAGCCTTGCTTGCAAACATTCTTGTCAGAGCACGCCTGGCCCATGGGAAGGCTGTCAGACGTGTTTTTTGTTACGTTGGGGATTGGGGGAGAAGCTTCAGAATCCCGTGCTGCTTAACTTTGTTGCTGCATGTCTGCATGGCGCTCTAAGATCGATGTTGGAGGCAGGTGTGTTTTTGCCGGATGTTTGTTTGGAGTTGGGGTTTTGGGAGCCAGCTTTTCCAGGCGACAACCAACTGTTGAAGTCGGCACCTTGCAGGGAACCCCAAAATGTAGCGCAGCGACAAGCCCCCCTCCAGAACACGGATAATCCACAAGATCCGTTCCCCGGCACCACAGAAGACTTGGCACACGTCAGTCGCATCGGCACTGTCGCAATGCGGAGAGTATCGGCCCCTGAACTATCAGGCGATGAAGACGAAGAAAAGGACCTTCGACTGGAATTGCTGCGCTTCGAATATGTGCAACTCGTTTTGCTATCTTTCCATGAGGGAATCGTCCTGTTGGAAGCTGAACCCCTGAGCTGTGTCAGGAGTCGACTGAGACGGCCAGCAGCTTTGCAGCGCCTCCCGTCGCTTCACACTCAGATTGCTCCATGCTGTCGGGTTCGGCATCCCTTACAGAACTTCAGGGTGTAG